TGCCCTGGGAAATGCACAGGGACACAGCCTTGTTTCTTCCTTGCTTAAGGGAGACACCAGAAACTTTGTGACAAGCAGCCATTCACTATTGCAGCCACTCGCCAGCTTCCGCTCAGACCTATTTGCTTGTCTAGCAACCACAACAGTTCAGCTAGGGAAAGGGGCAAGTGATGGATGCCACACTTTGGAAACCTGGGGTCGTATGGAGGTGAGCAACTAGCTAGTGAAACTGCCTGGAAACACAACCGATTGCAGTGGTAGAACTTGAGGAAACAGGAATGTACTCTCCAAAGTTTGGACTAGGTTTGAACCTACCCGATCGATCCACATTTTCTGAAACAATATGAAATTGGGCATCCTTCAGAATTTGCACTTCTCTGAATTTTGCAGCACAGTTCTCAACTCAAGTAATGGGTACAGAAATGCCTGTATTAGTGAAAATAACATTGAAAAACACTTTGTTTTCCGGGAAATTGCATTGAAAAAAATGTGTATATTGGGTAAAATTGCGTACAAAAGTGTGTGTATCAGGAGAAATTCACACTAAAATGCGGGTGACTTTTCATGAGGATCAACTATATATTTATCCATAAACTAAAGTGGAAATGGAGAGAGAGAGAGAGAGAGAGAGAGATTGACAGATTCACCTATTTCCCCAATATCTCATCTGGCCAGGAGAAGGGGGATATTTTCCTGATGAAGGCAGGTCCTGCTTGGTTTAATTTAGGCTTAATGGGAGGTTATGCAAAGGTTGCCTGAAGGCTGAGTGAGATTAGGACCACCCAAGAGGTGTCAAGCCTCTTGAGACTTTCTGAGTAAGGATTCCTTAAAACTAAGCCCGGGAAATGGGGGACTGGAGATTTATGCATGAGCCTAACAGGGATTATGGACACCTGCATCTTTTTGTCTCAATAAATTTAGGGGCTTTCACGAGGCCATTTGTTTGCTGTCTTTAATAAAAACTCAGATTGAAAGCGAAGCTTACTAGACTCCTAGAACAATCCTCTGCAATGCAGGAATCCCAGCTGAAAAATGCCTGGCAGGTGGCCGTCCAAATCTCTGAAGGAGGAGAGTCCACCATCTCCCAGGGTAGCCCATTCCACTGTCAAAGAGCTCCTACCACCAGAAAGTTCTTCCTAATGGTTCATCTCATAACTTGGATCCATTGGTTGGGGGTCCCACCCTTTGGAGCAGCAAAAAACAAACAAACAAGCTTGCTCCATCTTCCTTGTGACTGCCCTTCAGATATTTATTATTATTATTTTTATAAATCATTTTTATTGATTTTCCAATAAAAACATCCAATTAAATATCCAATCATAATACTTCAATTAAAACAAAAAACTAGTGGCGCCCACCCTGTGGAACGCCCTCCCTTCAGATGTGAAGGAAATAAGTAGCTATCCTATCTTTAAAAGACATCTGAAGGCAGCCCTGTTCAGGGAAGTTTTTAATATTTTTAATATTTAACGTTGTATTGTTTTTAATACTTTATTGGGAGCCGCCCAGAGTGGCTGGGGAAACTCAGCCAAATGGGCAGGGTATAAATAATAAAAATTATTATTATTATTATTATTATTATTAAAATAAAAAAGATCAAATTATAGTCCAAATTGTATTTATTAATTTCTCGGAGTGCCCCACGGTCTGGATCTCTGGAGCATATCTCCACATCTTAGTCCTGCTTCTCCTGTTGTTTCCATATTTTCCACGTCTCGAATTATGAAGCGTTAAAATCGAGCCCTTCAGATGTTTAAAATGGTCACTGCACCTGTTGGGCAGAATCAAGGTGGTTACAGTGGTACCTCGCAAGATGAATGCCTCGCAAGACAAAAAAAAGCTCGCTAGATGAAAGGGTTTTTTGTTTTTTGAGTTGCTTCGCAAGACGATTTTCCCTATGGGCTTGCTTCGCAAGACGGAAACGTCTTGCAAGTTTGTTTCCTTTTTCTTAACACCGTTAATACAGTGGTGCCCCGCAAGACGAATGCCTCGCAAGACGAAAAACCCACTAGACGAAAGGGTTTTCCGTTTTTCGATGCGCTTCGCAAGATGATTTTCCCTATGGGCTTGCTTCACAAGACGGAAACGTCTTGCGAGTCTTGCGATTTTTTTTGCTCCCCCCTTTTTCTAAGCCGCTAATAGCCTTTTAGCCGCTAAGCCGCTAAGCCTTTAATAGCCGCTAAACTGCTAATAGTGCTAATCCGCTAAGCCGCTAATAGGGTTGCTTCGCAAGACGAAAAAACTGCTAGATGAAGAGACTCGCGGAACGGATTATTTTCGTCTTGCGAGGCACCACTGTACAGTTGCAACTTGACTTCGAGGAGCAACTCATAGAACGCGGTGTGGTAGCCTTTTTTGAGATTTTTAAAGACTTTGGTGATTTTTGAAGCTTTTCCAAAACTTTTCCGAAATCGTGCTTCGCAAGACGAAAAAAACCGCAAGACGACAAAACTCGCGGAACGAATTAATTTCATCTTGCGAGGCACCACTGTATATGCCCTGCTTTACTTTACTTGAAAGAACCCTGCATTTGAAGGAATGTCCGGAATGAGTCTGATTTATGTATAAAGAACCCTGAGAAGTGAAAGTGGGCATATGTGTGTGCTGGTTTGTCAACTCCAAGGGGGTCGAGGTGTCTTCAGCCCCCTCAATTTTTGTTTGAAGGGGGCTTGGCCCCCTCAATGTTGAGGGGGCCAGGCATGAGCGCTTGGCCTCCTCCAGGGGATGTGACGTCATGGAAGGCTGCCCTGGCCTATCAGGAGACGCTGAGGGGACTGGCAAGGCCTGACAGAAGGTCCCACCAGCCTGTATGGTATTGATTGACACGTGCGACATCACATGTTACACACGTGACATCACCCCCCACAGAGCGCATGCTAGGCTCCCTCAATCTTGTGGGCAGTCTGGCGCCTCTGGTTTGTGTCCTGTGGAGATGTCCTGGAAAGGCTGGTCAGACTGTTATGTACTGAAGTTCTCACCCTGGGCCAGCAGGGGGATACTGTAGATAGTTTTCACTCAGGTCCACATATGCAAATAAGGAATTGAAAGTGACGTTCAGTGATTGGATAGTTACAAAAAGTTGTTGCTGTTGCTTTGTAGTTGAGCTCTATGTAAGCAGGCTGGCTGAACCCTTCAGCCCAGTTCTGTTCTGGGCCTGTGAATAAACAAGAGCTGTTTGAAGAATCGCCTGATATGTGTCGTCTGATATGTTCACCCACAACTTAACACAGACCAAGGAGAGCAGTAGGAGGAACTGGAGGAACTGGAATCTAAGGCAGGCCCTAGATATTTTGGCTCCTGAGGCGAACCACAAATGGCGCCTCCCCACCAAGGAATAAGGGGTGGATGAAGAGCGACGTCAGAAACAAGGCTGGGAATAATTAGGAAACATTGAGATCTGCTGCCTGAGGTGGCCGTCTCACCTTACCTCATGGGTGGGCCAGCCCTGCTCCCCAAGAAATCTTGGCATTGCCTGAGAAGGAACCTGAAGCCATGAGTCAGATCCTAGAGAGGAGCCCTGTAGGTTGTCAAAAGGGAAAGCCACCTGGGCAATGCCAGGCAGACCTGTTCCTTCTCTTTCCCCACAGAGCCCAGCCCTCCCTCCTGCCCCTGTTGGCGAGCCTCTGTGCCCACAAGGGAGGCATGGAAGGACATGCCAGCATGGTCTTCTCCCCTCTTGCCTTGGTTGCTCAGATGCCAGCACTGGCACAAACAGACAGCTCATGCCCAACCCGCTCAAAGAAGGGCCTGTTTGCTTACCCAGTCCAAAGATGCTTCTCGCATGCCATGCGAAAGCTGTGCTTGCCTTAAAGTTTGTGGCAGAAGTCATAATACAAGTTCAAGTGTGTTATGTACTGAGTTGAATAGGATCCAAAATGCAGCAGTCTGATTGATCCTTGAACAATAGGATTCAGAATGCAGCAGTCCGATTGGTCCTAGAACAATAGGATTCAGAATGAAGCAGTCTCATTGGTCCTAGAACAATAGGATTCAGCAGTCTGATTGGTCCTAGAACAATAGGATTCAGCAGTCTCATTGGTCCTAGAACAATAGGATTCAGCAGTCTCATTGGTCCTAGAACAATAGGATCCAGAATGCAGCAGTCTGATTGGTCCACAGGAGCCACCCAATCCAGCTCCAGGTGGAAGTGAATCCGCGACCTGATTGGCCTACAGGAGAATCCCGGAATTAGCCAATCACGTGGGGCCCACTGTGTAAATAATGTATATAAAGCAGACATTCTGGGGGAACTTCCATTCCTCCTCACCACTATGAGCTGAATAAAGAGCATGAAATCCACTCTCGACTCTGAGTATATTTCAAAGTGCTTAATCGAGGGAGAGGCAGGATGTTGGTAGTGGGTGCGGGGCTGGAAGTTGGCTATCAGCACGGTGGGCATTGCGCCCTTTGTTGGCACCTGGGGCATGTGTATGCACAAGGCAGGACCAAGGGCTTGGCACGGAGGGTGAACAAAATCCACTGTGCCAGCCCAACCCTTACTGCCACTGCTGGGTGGGTGTGGGGCACAGAGGGTTCACAGGGCCGCGCTGTGCTACCTGCCTGCGTAGCCATGCAAGGGGGAGCTTGGTCAGCTGATGCGGCCGTTGGCACACTCCCCAACACTGACCGGATAACCATTCAGTGAGGGGGCAGGGGGCGCGGTGCCAAGGCCAGACTGGGCTCTGGGGCCCAGAGACTTCTGACGACAATCAGGGTGGGGATCTGGGAACGACAACATCTATCTCGCCCCCTCTCCAAATCATGCGCCCGGGGCTGTGGGCCCCCATGCTACAGCCCTGCATAAGCATTTAGCAGAAGTTGTACAGCAGACTGAGTAGCTTTGCCCCTCCCATGGTGAGACGTATTGCGTTTCTGTTCAAAGTGAGTCGCTCTTTCACGAGTGTACCCTCTTTCGCACTAGCACTTGTGCACACGACGTGTGAACACGCCTCGGATTGCACAGAGCACCTCTGACCGTCCTCCCGTCTTTTCCCTTCCAGGCGCTCCTTTTCAAAGGTCTCAGCATCCTCATGCTACCTCCTGCCGGCACTTCCACCTGGGCCCCCAGCCTCAGATTTCCACAGACTTCCCCCTGCCTCACGCCGTCCAGCCTCACATGGCAACCGCGCACCAGCACGGAGGCCCCCTGCACCCGCCCCTGCCGCCTCTGCCTGCCCTGCCATTCCAGGAAGTGACGGGACCCTCTTTCCTACCTCAGGCCCTTCACCAGCAATACCTCCTCCAGCAGCAGCTCCTTGAGGCCCAGCACCGCAGACTCATGCCTCATCCCAGGTGAGAAAGCATCTCCACCATCAGCCAAGATCATGGATGTCACCAGTTTGGGACATTCTAACAGCCAATGTCTTCTGCATGCTGTTGGACTCTTCTGAGCCCATTAGCCCCAGCCAAAGTGGCCAATGGATTGTGCGAGTTGCAGTTCTGCTTTTGCAATACACACACACACCGTATTTTTCGCTCCATAAGACACACTTTTTTCCTCCTATAAAGTAAGGGGAAATGTGAGTGCGTCTTATGGAGTGAATGGCGCTGCGCAGAGAGGTAGAGCTGCGCAGCGCCCATTCAGCCAGAAGCCTGCCTAGAAGCCGGAGGAGGAACAGAAGGGACTCCTTCTATTCCTCCTCTCGCTTCGCAGCAAGGCACCTGTCCTGCGAAGCCAGAGGAGGAACAGAAGGGTCTCCTTCTCTTCCTTCTCCAGCTTCACTTGAAGGGGCGCTGCGCAGTTCTCCCTCTCAGAGAGGGAGAACTGCGCAGTGCCCCTTCAGCGACGCGCCTGTCATGCGAAGCCAGAGGAGGAACAGAAGGGACTTCTGTTCCTTCTCCAGCTTCACTGAAGGGGCGCTGCGCAGTTCTCCCTCTCTGAGAGGGAGAACTGCGCGGCGCCCCTTCAGTGACATGCCTGTCCTGGCTTCTGCCTTAGCCGTGCGCAGCCTCTTCGGGCAGGGGGAGCCTTCATCCCGCTGCCCTGAAGAGGCTTGGCGCGGTTATCCCAGAACCCAGAACAGCCACACGGTATCCCAGAAGCCAGATCCCTCTTGCTGTTCTGGCTTCTGGGATTCAAAATATTTTTTCCCCTTGTTTTCCTCTCCCCCATACTGGGTGCGTCTTATCATCTGGTGCGTCCTATAGAGCGAAAAATACGGTTTATCCCTGCATGCAGAAAGCTAGCACATCAGGGACATTATTTCTACCGTAGCCTTCTTCCTGATGCCTTAGCTCTCCGTGGCACCCTGCCTCCCCACCAGGGAAGAATGGGTGAGGGAAGATCTGCAGGAGAGAAAGATAGACATTGGGATTTCCTGCCTGGTGGATATTGCCGCCTGAGGCAGTTGCCTCACCTTGCCTCGTGAGTGGGCCGGCCCTGACTACAGCTCCTATCAATCCGTACCATTAACTAAGCTGGCTGGGGTTGTAGTGCGACAAAATCTGGGGACCTAAGGTTGAAGAACACTATTTTAGTCCAATCCCCTGCCAAGGCAGGGAACCCACTGCTGATGCATCCTTTCTTGCCCTCAAAAACCTTTAGCAAAGGTGGGTGGATTTCAAAGGCTGTAAGTTAAATCAGTGGAGGATGGGCTTATCAATGGCTGCCTACCATAATAACTAAGCATTGCTAGTTTTACAGCTGACACCCAATTTGTGTGTCATTCCCACTACCCACCCACATAGGGCAGCATCTCCCCAAATGGTCAACTGATATTTGTTTTTAATTTATTTTTGCTCTTGAGTTGCTTTTAACGTTTTATGATTTTATTGTTTGGTTTTATATTTTTAAGTAGTTGCAAATCCCTGCAATTTTTTTTTAATGATACAGTGATATATAAATAAATAAAATAAATGAACGCAAGCATGCAGCACCCTGCCCTTTCCCTGCTTCTGCGGCTGAAGTGGTACCATGTAGAAAAAAACCAAACTTTACTACTTAATTCTGGTATATAGCAGGTCTGGGAGGAACTTTTTTCCCACCAGATACTGATGGACTCTTATCAGCCACAGTCAGTATGGACAACAGTCAGGAAAGATGGGAGATGTTCTCCAACAACATCTGGAGGGCCATAGGCTCCTCATCCCTGGCCTAAAATCTCGAAACTCTATGCACATCAACAGTATACATAAAATGGGGTCAAACCACAGGGTGTCTGTCTCTAGAAGAGTGGTTCCCAATCTTTTTTTGGCCATGCCCCACCTAAGCACCTCTAAAATCCTGACACCCCCCCCCCCCTGGTGACATATAATTCTTATTATTCAAAAAGCGAACTCCTACTCACATGGAGGAAGCCTAAAAGGCCATTAACTTGGTGTAAACAAGCTTCCAAATTGCCCCCTTTAAAAATCAAATTGCCCCCTGTGGGGCATGTGCCTCGCATTGGGAACCACGGCTCTAGAGTGTCCCTGCTTGGCTAACCTTGAAACCACTGTCTCACTCGAGTATCGGGACCTTCTGTGTAAGCAATTTGTATGTATTGCAGCCTCACCCAACCTCCAGATGTTGTCAGACTACAACTCCCAGCATCCCCAGCCAGCATGGCACAATGGTCAGGGTTGCCGGATGCTGTAGAACTTTGGGAGGACACTAGCTTGGGAAAAGCTGTCGTTAATACTTTGTCCAATCTGTGAATACACTCTATTGACTCGAATGCTTTGTCTGCAGGTCACCATTAAGCTCTGTGCAGGCAACTGATCCAGGGTGAGTGAAGATGCGTGTGCATGCACGTGTGCATGCGTGAGTTGGTGAGGTGGGCAAGGAAGTGTGACTAAATCTGCAGGCACAGCCCTATTTGCATTCAGTATACTCAGAATCAGAAGACCTGGACCAGCCATGCTTTTTGCCTTCTGCTGTTTATGCAGGAACCCACTGCAAGCTCAGTTAATGGTATCGCATCCCACTGAGCTTTGAATATAGGCTTGTGCATGCTTGACAGCCCTCCATCTCGCAGGGTTCCTGAGCGCATGATCAGAGCCAGTGTTCACACCACTGGGTTTGTTTTCACAGGCTGAATGTGTGTAGCTCATGAACGATGGGAAAAGGCAATATCTCAATAGTAGAGTGCATGCTTATCATGCAGAAGATCACATGTTCAATTCTGGACATCTCCAGTTATTTATTTTTTTAAATCCAGAAGCATAGCTCTCTCTCCCCCTCCCCCGGAGAGTCATTGCCAGTCAAAACAGACCAACCTTCACCAACTGTGCTCTAGTTGTTATTGAAACCCATCTCCCATCACCCAGCCTGATCAAATTGTAGTCCAAGGGCACCCAGTTGGGGAAGGCTAGAGGGCTAGACAATACAGCCATACCTCATGTTACGTTTGCTTCAGGTTGCACATTTTCAGGCTGTGTCCCGCGGCAACCTGGAAGTACCGGAAAGGGTTACTTCTGGGTTTTGCCGCTCGCGCATGCGCAGAAGCAGTGAATCACGACCTGCGCGTGCGCAGACGTGGGTTGCGTTCTTTTCAGGTTGTGAACGGGCCTCCGGAATGGATCCCGTTCGCAACCAGAGGTACCACCATACTGGACAAGGGAGGCAAGAACATAAGAATAGCCTGCTGGATCAGTCCCAATGGCTCAACTAGTCCAGCATCTTGTTCTCACAGTGGCCAATCAGATGCCTGTGGGAAGCCTGCAAACAAGACCCAAACATTTCCCCTCCTGCAGTTTCTGGCAACTGATATGCAGAAGCACTCAGTCTAGATGAAGAGCATAGCCATCAATAGCCATTTCCATGAATTTGTCATGGCTATAATTGCCTCCCATGGGAGCAAATTCCATAGTTTTGACCTGGCTGCTTCCTTTGACCCAACCCCGTGCATTCACGGACCCTGAATCAGTTGTCTGAACAGGGTTATCAGTGTTGCTTTGGATGCAGGATTCAGAACCTTGGGGGCGGGTGTCAAACATGAGCCTCTTTCGCTCACCTTTCTTCCTCGACCCTGCAGGCGGACTCAGGAGCGTATCTCTGTCCAACCTCATCGGTTACATCCAAGCTTCGAATTTGGCCATCAACTGCAGACTCCTCAACCCATGGGCCCCCAGCCCAGATATTTAGCGGAAGGAACAGACTGGTAAGTCATTCCTTGCCGTGACAACTGGGGTGAAATCAGGTGCGGAGCAAGGTGGGGGCGATGGGGGTGGACCGCCCCGGGTGTCATTACCGAGGTGGGTGACATTTGGCGCGCCGCACGCCTATGACTCCCGCCTACCCTGAGCCATCAGGGGAAGGGGATTAGTGGCACCACATTTTGCTGCTTTGTCTTGACAGCCCTGCGCTGCCTGGCTGCTGGAGGAGGCATGCAGGCAGGCTCAACAACATAGGCCAAGCATTCACTAAAAAAAAGCTTTGGTGAATCCTTCCCCCCAAAAAGCTCAACAACTCCCGGCAATGACAATGGGTAGATCACAGCCAGTCTTTTTATACTCTGAGTAGCTCACAGTCTCTTGGGAGTCCAACTAGATTTCAATGTGTGTGGGAGGGGGGATGGCAAGAAATTTTCCGTATCGGGTACCACCTGACCTTGCTACGCCACTGGGTGAAATAGAAGTCTTGTGATACCAGTTCCCGTGAGGAACGGTTGAAGGAGTTGGGCGTGTGTCTAGCATGGAGAATGGAAGACTAACAGGAAACATGATGGCAATGTTCAAATATCTAAACTACTGTGGTGGCCAGTCACATGTCGCTGGGGAAACAAACACCCCCCGTCTGCAGAACATTCAACAATGGGGGCCTGGGCAAGGGGGCAGGGCCAGAAAGGGAGCCAGCAATCATTTACACATTCACTCCATAAGACGCACAGACATTTCCCCTTACTTTCTAGGAGGAAAAAAGTGCGTCTTATGGAGCGAAAAATACGGTAACAATCATACCCTACTTTTTACATTTAATTGCCTGTGCTGTTTTCTCCTTCACTTGACCACCGGTGCTTCGAAACCCCACAGGGTTAATGTATATACCAACCAAACTCTGAACTATTTGGATGAGTCACTATGCCTCCGGGCTCATGTTCCTTCTATCCGGTGAAAGATATAAAAACAGCATTAGCCATTGGGTTTGAACTCAAAGTGTATGTGTGTTGGGAAGGGGGTGGCGGAATGGGAGACTTTTTATAAAAAAGGTTGCACAACGCTTGAAATTCGTATTTCTGCATCCTTCCAGGGATCTCAGCGTCGATGCTGGCCTAACTCACAACCAGTTCCAGGTCAGGCCAGTTCCACAACATTATCAGCATTACTTAGCGACACAACGAATGCAACATTTCCCCCGGAACACGTCCTCAACGCAGATGGTAAGCGAATCGGGAGTTGCTGGAGGCCAGCTTGAAGCCTGGCTTAGACTAACAGCATGGTAACCAGAACCTGGTGATGGAGTACATTCTCTGCATGCAGAAAGCCCCAAATACTATCCCTAGCATTTCCAGCTCAAGTGTACTGGTCCCGAGGGTTAACCGTGCGGCGAGGTCCGAGTCCAGTCCAAGGTCGAGGGTGCAGTATGGAGGCAGTCCGTCAAAGCTGAAGCAGGGTCCAAGGCAGGGAGTTGGGTGAGGTCAGGAACTCTGGCAGAAGAGCAGGACAGGGTGCAGGCAGGAACAGGCTACCAACAATGTTGCTCCCGCAACCTGGGACTGGGGCTGGCTGGCTTTTATCTGCCCCAAGGCATAGGGCGTCCCCGGTCCACAGGTGACTCGCCTCTCCTGGCCTGGAGGCGAGCACTCCTCCTGCGGGAACTTAGTTCCCTCCGTCTCTCTGTCCTGAGCCTCTGCAGCTCAGGAGAGGCTGGAGGATTACCAGATCCAGAGGCAACCTCAGCTTCCCCTGACGGGGTTGAAAGTGGAGCACCTGCAGGCAATGGGTCCTCCATCACCTCAGGAGCCAGAGCAGACTCAGCTGATGCCTGCACCTGAGGGTCCAGCACAGGTGAGGACCCTTCAGGCTCAAGCCCCAGCCCCGGCTCAGCTGGTTCTGGAGGCGGGGACTCCTGTGCAGGCTGGGATTCCTCAAGTTCAGCCTCCAAGTCCGAATCCCAGGCCATCACATCAAGGCTCATTTGATCCTTGAGAGCCATCACCAGTCAGCTTAGGCGATACCAGCCTATAAGGGTCAGTGGTCTGACTCTGCGTAAGGGCGCTTAATGAGTTCTTAATCTGTTCTTGGACTGCTTGAATGAATGATGCTTCCCAGCTTGGAAATACAAAACTTGGCAGCTCATAGGGCTAGCATCTGAAGGTTCTCACCCGGCTCAGATTTCTGCATCTCTCCTGCCCAAACCTCCAGTTTCCTCTCACCCAATCTTCTCTTTTTGCTGCTTTGGTAATAGTGTTGGGATGGCAGGAGATACTACCCCATCTCTCCCCTTACCACTCTGTGAGCAGCCTGGCATGCAAGATTGGGCTGCTCACAACGCTCACCTCTGAGTTCTTCTCTGGCTCAGATTTTAATCTGTGCTGGAGAAGCACTGTATTTTGCGCTCTATAAGATGCACTTGACCATAAGACGCACCTAGTTTTAGAGGAGGAGAACAAGAAAAAAAATTCTCTCTCTCTCTGCTCAGCGCCTGCAAAGCGGCAGGAGAAACGGAGCCCCTTCCATTTCTCCTCCCGCTTCGCTGAAGGGGTGCTGCGCAGAGAGGGAAAGCTGCGCAGCGCCTCTCCAGCAAAGCAAAGCCAGGAGGGCAAGAGGGATTGGTGCGCACTGATCCCTCTTGCTCTCCTGGCTTCAGTGAAAGCTGCACAGCCTGCATTCGCTTCATAAGATGCACACACATTTCCCCTTACTTTTTAGGAGGGGAAAAGTACATCTTATAGAACGAAAAATATGGTAGTCAACGTCTCTCTCCTACCCTGCCTCCCTTGTGGGGGTGTCCTGTCCCCTCTTCCCATCTCTAGCACTGGGCATGCACCAATGCTTGGGAACTAAGCTACAGTAGCATTGGGAAACATAGTTTCCACAGTGCTACTGACGCATTCCCATGAGGAAAATGCTCTGTGCCTTAAAAACCAGCATATCAGGGAAAAGTCTATGCCAGGACCCTTCTTCCTGACATGTTAGTTTTCTATGCGGAGGTGACAGGAACATTTAATCATGTGATTTCTCCATCTGCCATTTGGAGTGGTACAGTCCAGGGATGGTTTTACGACACAATCTGCTGTCTGTGTAGACCGGTCCTGAGTCACTGTCTGGGGGAAGGCAGTCAAAATAGAGGCGTCTATCATTCCTGTCAGCTGATTGCTAGTTAGGAGCCGGCACTGTGGGAGGCAATTCTTTCTGAATGGATAACCCGACAGCTTTAACAGAAATGATTGCTACAGCTGGTTGGGTTCTTTTACACAAGTGCTCAAAGAACAACTTGCATCGCTGACTGCAGAATTGTACCCTAATAATCTGAAATAATGTTGGGTGATCCAATCTAGCAGATAATCTTCCTTTGAATTAACCCTTTTCAAAGGCCATTAAGTCTTATTTTGAATACTACTACTACTAACAAGTGGGACGCGGGTGGCGCTGTGGGTAAAAGCCTCAGTGCCTAGGACTTGCCGATCGAAAGGTTGGCGGTTCGAATCCCCGTGGCGGGGTGCGCTCCCGTTGTTCGGTCCCAGCGCCTGCCAACCTAGCAGTTCGAAAGCACTCCCGGGTGCAAGTAGATAAATAGGGACCACTTACTAGTGGGAAGGTAAACGGCGTTTCTGTGTGTGGCTCTGGCTCGCCAGAGCAGCGATGTCACGCTGGCCACGTGACCCGGAAGTGTCTCCGGACAACGCTGGCCCCCGGCCTCTTGAGTGAGATGGGCGCACAACCCTAGAGTCTGTCAAGACTGGCCCGTACGGGCAGGGGTACCTTTACCTTTACCTTTTTACTACTAACAAACTCTTACTTGAGTACTTACTTACTTATTTTGCACAATGCCTCACAGGTTGTTCATGAAATTAGAAACTACCCATATCCTCAGCTTCAGCTACTTGCTCTTCAGGGACTGAATCCAAACAGACACACGTCCGCTGTGAGGGAAAGTTATGAAGTAAGTGCTCCCAGCTTGAATGACCCTCTGGACCTTTCCCCCTGCAGGATCTGTATCCATTTATTCATTCAGCCACTATGGCCTTACTCTCATGTAACAGTAAGCCATAAACAGGGCCGGCCCTATGATGAAGCAGAGTGAGGCAGCTGCCTCAGGTGACAGACACTGGGGTGTGGGGAATGGCCAGAGCTGTGAGTCCCCCATGGCTACTCTGTACTCTCTAGATTAGCCCGATGCCCTCAACTAAAGTGGAAGACATGTCCTTTCACCTGTATTGGAGTAAAATTCAACTCCCAGTCCAATTAGCTTCTGTATGTGCTTTCGGGGTTGGGTGCCATCTTGTCCTTTGCCTCAGGCAGCAAAATGTTTTGAGCAGGCCCTGCCAATAAATGACGGCTTATTGCAAACGAGTCGTGTGCTGATATGCACTGCTGAATCGCATCCATCCCCCTCTTTCCTGTGTCATGCTGGGAAGACACAAGTCAGAGCTAGGTGCAAATCAGCACTTGTGATTTGCTCACTCAAAACAAGCCACAGGCAGAAGCTCAGGTTTGTTCTCCTGGTTTGGATTTTTTTTTTGGGGGGGGTGTCGAATGCCAAAGTGGGTATGATCAAAGTATAGAAGTGGGCATAGGGAGAACTGCCACTCTTAACAGCCGCCTTCCCGAAGGCTTTGCAGCCAGTTATTCTACACTATTTTGTAAAGTATTAGTAATTGGTTATTAAGTTTGGTTTTTGAAAAGTTTTAAAAATTAAATGAGCAATTTGAGGGGGAGTTTGGAGAGCCCTTCCCTCACAGTATCACAGGGTCAGTCAAGAATAATAATAATATAATATTAATAATAATTTATTATTTATTATTTATACCCTGCCCATCTGGCTGGATTTCCCCAGCCACTCTGGGCGGCTTCCAAAAGAATATAAAAATACAATAGTCTATTAAACATTAAAAGCTTCCCTAAACAGGGCTGCCTTCAGATGGAGAGGGGGGGAGGGAGGGAGGGAGGGACAGGGCAGATAGAAAGATTTGGAGGGGCTTTGGGGCAATAAAACCTTTTGGGCATTACAGTACACAGCAAGGAATCTAGAAGATCAGTCAGTATTAGACACACACACACACACACACACACACACACACACACCCCTGATGCAAAAAATACTGAGTGAGATAAGACCAATTGTTTGACTTCGTATCAGTCAAACTTCCTGTATATTCCCATTTTGAAAGTCATTTTATTTCCCATGACTTTAAAAATAAACCTGATTAAAAGAAAACCTTCTTTGGACCAGTAAAGGACAGGGAAAGGGTGGGGAGATGAGGATTCTGGGTCTGCCATCTCAGATGGCTAACAGGTGGCTATTTGAAAGGTCTCCTGTTCATTCCTTTCTCTTTCCTCCCTCTTTTCAGGAGCTTTTGCAACTGGAAGACAGGCTGGGCAGTGTGAACAGGGGGGCCGTTCAGAACACCATTGAACGGTTCACTTTCCCACACAAATACAAGAAGGTAAGAGTTGGAAGAACATCTCATCCTACCAGAATTGACACTTAGGCGCTGACCATTCTTGGAGGCAAGGCTGACGCTGGTTACAACTTTTTAAATTGCAAAAGTAGATGAAATTTGCAGGCATAACAGCCGCCTTACCATCACTGGATTAAGCTTGACAAATCATAGGCAGATAACAACCAGGTTGTTGTTTTCTCATACAGGGCATCTTCAAAAATTGATTATTATTTTTAAAAAAGACAATCAACAATTCTTTAACTTTTCATTTTAAGAATGAATGAACAGGTGTGGATGCAACACAATCTTTGTCCTCTATGAATTTGCCTAAAATCAGTGGCTACCACATCTTGTGGTAAGGGTGTAAAAACAAGTACTGCCAAACGGTTTCACGCTGGATGACTCTGAATTCTAATATTCTGAAGGAAAGAGACTAAAATGTATTTTTCTGCCTACTTTATCTGTATTATCTATTTGTTCTGCGGATTCATATGTACAAATCTGGGCTGCTTGGAAAGGAATAATATTAGTAGTAGTAGTAGTAGTAGTAATGACAATAATTTATTTTAAGTGTTCCCATAAACTCCTGCACTGACTGGTATTTTGTTATGAGGAATGGGTCTTAATGGAGGCCTCAGCTTCCGAGAGAACCGGTGATGTCTTTGACATGTTATCTGTGTATGACCTTAAAACTCTTCGCTCCAGGTTGCGACACACACATCCATCAACCTCTCTTTCCTACGGAGACAGGCGGAGTGCTAACTAGATTCAACATCCATAGAGTTTTCGACAGGGCAGGTTTCCCTAAACTGAATGCGCCCAGTGAGGGCATTGGTTAAGCCAGGCATCCCCAACCTTTGGCCCTCCAGATGTTCCAGACTACAATTCCCATCATTCCTGACCACTGGTCCTGTTAGCTAGGGATCATGGGAGTTGTAGGCCAAAACATATGGAGAACCGCAGGTTGGGGAGGCCTGGGTTAAGCTCTTTGCCATCTAAATCCCCACCTGCTCCTGAAGGCCTTGAGGCGGCCATCTTGTGTAACGCTGTGATCTTTCCTTGACCTTCTTGACAGAGGAGACCGCAGGAAATCAAAGCAGTAAAGGAAGATGGGGAGGAGTCGGACACCGATGAGAAATGCACAATCTGTCTCTCGATGCTGGAAGACGGAGAGGATGTGAGGTATAACTATTCTCCAAAGGGATTCTGAGTGAAATCTTTCTTATGTTCCTTCTCCATCCACCTCACCCCACCTCAGAGTTTCATCACTTTCATTCTTTGCTTGCTGGTCTGGGTTTTTATCGCAAACTCCCCCTCCACAACACAGATATATATTGCCTCTGAGCAAATCAAGACGTCGGTCCTCATGAACTAAACAACTAGAGGTTTATAACTAGGGTTGCTGATGGGGTTGTCTAAGGCCTTATAGCACCTCAGGGCTTCTCTCTCATCTGAAGGCAGCCCTGTTTAGGGAAGCTTTTAATGTTTAATAGGTTATTGTATTTTAGAAGTGGCCCAGAGTGGCTGGGGAAACCCAGCCAGATGGGCGGGGTATAAATAATAAATAATAAAAATTATTATTATTATTATTATTATTATTATTATACCTGTAAGAACCACCTGTCTCCAATTCTGTATCCATTTTGAGCAGGGCGGGTTCCAGGTTTAAAGGAATGGGATTTGTCTTGCATCAGTGGGCACCTGGCTACCTTACCCGGTGACAGGAACAAGTGCTGGAGAGCCGCCATTTTCATTTCCCACAATTCCCCTGGACACAACACCACTCCTATGCATTGTGGGAAAATCAGATGGTAGTCCTTGACTAGAGCACCAGTTTTAAGGAGGGGGACGCGGTGGGAAGCTAAATGGCGTTTCCATGTGCTGCTCTGGTTTCCGTCACAGTGTTCCATTGCACCAGAAGCAGTTTAGTCCTGTTGGCTACATGACCTGGAAAGCTGTCTGTCGACAAACTCCGGCTCCCTCGGCCTGAAAGAGAGATGAGCGCCACAACCCCATAGTCGCCTTTGACTGGACTTAAGCGTCCAGGGGTTCTTTAAAGGTAAAGGGACCCCTGACCATTAGGTCCAGTTGTGGCTGACTCTGGGGTTGCAGCGCTCATCTCGCTTTATTGGCCGAGGGAGCCAGCGTACAGCTTCCGGGTCATGTGGCCAGCATGACTAAGCCACTTCTGGCGAACCAGAGCAGCGCACGGAAACGCCGGTTACCTTCCCGCCGGAGCGGTACCTATTTATCTCCTTGCACTTTGATGTGCTTTCGAACTGTTAGGTTGGCAGGAGCAGGGACAGAGCAATGGGAACTCACCCCATCGCGGGGATTCGAACCGCCGACCTTCTGATCGGCAAGCCCTAGGCTCTGTGGTTTAACCCACAGCGCCACCCGTGTCCTTTAAGGAGGAGCTTAGGGCAGGCATCAGCTGTGGGCATCAGCCATTGTGCTGAGGCCCCAGCCGTTGCACAAAGGTCCTGCAAGATGGTGTCAGGCTCAGTCTCGACCTCTTGCCCAGATAACAAACCTTCTGTTTTCCAGGCGTTTACCTTGTATGCATCTGTTTCACCAAGTGTGTGTGGACCAGTGGCTCGCGACCAGCAAGAAATGCCCCATCTGCCGAGTGGACATTGAAACACAGCTTGGGTCCGATAGCTGAGAGGAGAACCACCTCTGGGGATGTGTCCTCTTTTCCTTTCCTTTTCTTGGTCCTTCCTGGGGCGTCGCAGCCCCTTTGCAGCAAAAGTTTTGCCTTTCTGAGCCATTTGATTTTGTGTGTGTGTGTGAAGAAAGCCTGCAAGCACATTCGCAGATTATTTAAAAAAAATAAAAATTAAATTAATTTTTAAAAGAAGAAGAAGAGGAAGACGAAAATGAGGAAGACAGAAAAGATGATGATGGTGATGATGAAGAAGAAGAGTTGGTGGTTTATAATATCTAGAGGTAGGAGGAGATCCGGGACACCTTGTTGACTGCGAAGCATGGGTATGCGCAGCTAGAAAGCCGGCGGGAAGAGTTAAGTTGTGGGAAGGACGGTACATAATGTTCCTAGTTATGGCCTCTCAATCCTGCTTCTCAAAAGGATTGTATATAATATACCTCTTGAATAAGTAGAAACACATTAGGGGTTCTTTAGCTATTTCTATGGATGGCTTCCAGAGCATGTACGCTTAAAGAAATGTCGTCTTTTGATGCCCTGTCATCTTGTGGTGGGTCTGTTGCTATTAACCTAATCTGCACCAAACATCGCATTGGGGGCTTTTGTTATCTTTTCGTTTTTCCATAAGGTTCCTTACTTTGGTGCCTGGCTGAAACATTATTGGGGGGTGGGGAGGGAATGGGGAGACACAAAGACACAAGAGTCAAGTTCTTGCCTTGCTTGGGTGAAAACAGGAAAAAACAAAATCCTGTTTACGCTGAAAATAGCAAAAGAAATATATATATATATTCTTTTCCCTTAGCAGCATTTGACTCGGGAAAAGATTGCGGTGAGGTAGGAAATTAAAGAAAATGAGGGAAATTGGAAATTGGAAGGAAATTTGGGGGTTGGGAGAAAAGAGCGGGAAACTGTCTTTCCTGCTTATCTGCTGGTGCTGGACATGATACTTAGGGCACAAGCCCAGGATGAATTTTGCTTCCTTCTGCTGGATCTGAACGATGGGTCTCCCAAGAGAGGATTAGAGCATCTCTCCACAAGCCACAGGCTTAGCCTACTTCTCCTTCAGAAAAAGACATATTATTAATTTGACACTCTCCCTTTTGGAGCAATGGAACCATTTTCTGCCTCTTTTAAAAACAACATGGCAGCCATTTGATTGTCAGTAGGCAGAGTGGTCCTTTTAACCCTGGAGGGCTCTTTTGGCTCTCTATCTTGTGACTGGGAGGAGGAAGCCATCTTCATCTGGTCTTGTGCATGAGTTGGATAGATGGTTTAACCTCCTAGTTTTGCTAGTAGAATACGCTGTCTTTGGTAACTGGTCTGGGTGAGTCTGAAAGGCCACAGGAAATAGATTCTGCCATCTTTTGGCAACACAATAAGCACAAGCCCTGCTCTCCAAAGCATGGAGAACAGGGCCTAAAGACCACATCTTGCCTGTTCTACCTTAAATTCTTGCACAAAAGCTACATGGGAAGTTTCTCATCAAATCCCATAGAACTCTTCCAGAAATATTCCCCCACCTCGCTCTCTCAGGATCCCAGAGACTGAAGGAACGGCAGGGGCTGACTGAGCAAAATCTTCCACTTTTCTTCCAGATCTTTGCGCTGTCTACCATGTGTGTGTGTGTGTGTGTGTATGTGTATGTGTGTTTAGAGAGGTTTTAGCACTCAAGACAAACCCTGCATTACTTATTTTTCAAGTGCTGCAAATTAAGTAAAGGGGAGGGGAGAAATTCAGTCCAAATTTATATGGTGAAAGCCCTTTTGATACATGGAATATTTTGAACGCGGACAACATTTCAGGTTCCTGGAAAACATTAGAATGATGCCCTGGTCTTGGGAGGCAACTGTGTGATTGCGCAAGCAAATACTGCGTGTGCATATATAGTTATTATGTCCTGAAACTGGTTTTCAGGCTGTCGACTGCATAATATGCACGTAATGTAGCTAAGCTGGGCAGTCTCCACTGAAGGAGCATTCCACATCCTTAGCAGAACGGGGAATGAAGTGTGCAATCTGCTGTTCAGGAAGAGGAATGAAGGACAGGACGAATTCAGCCTTTCCCGATTTCTTTTCCTCACCAAGCAGCTGACCAGCGGAATGACAGCTTCCTTTACAAAACTTTCACCACACAGCAGAGGAGCCAACACTTAGGGGCCATGGGGGCTTCGGCCCCCACAATAAAACATTTGTGGGGGCTAGGCTCCCACAAAGTTAATGGGCATTCCCATTTAAATGGTGTGTGTGATTAATTATGTGGGATGGGGCTGTCCTGGACCCCCACAATATTTTATTCAAGTTGGCACCCCTGCCCCACAGCCCGACATACTGCAAACACTTGCTTGGTTTTTGACCTGTATATTTAAACCGGTCTCAAAGTGGTCTAAAACAGAAGGCAAGGCCCCACTGGTAAAATTACTTTTGCATGCCTGTTCAATATTCTTTGTAGGAGAGTCCTTGGCCCATGCACTCATCACAGTGGTTCCTAGGGGCTCCTTGAGCAGGGACCATAGCTGTCAACTTTTCCCTTTTCTTGCGAGGAATCCTATTCAGAATAAGGGAATTTCCCTTAAAAAAAGGGAAAGGTTGACAGCTATGGCGGGGACCTTCATAGGTATTTTATGTCCTTCCATTTTAGACCTGAACCCAGGATGGGCTATAGCACAAAACATACAAAACAAGTGAAGATTTTTTTTTTAAAAAAGACATTTCAATATAGATTTAAAAAAATAATAATGCGAAAACAACATTATGAAAACTGGTCCTTTGAATCAGGCAGCTTACTTGAGGGTTCAGAAGTGAGAGAGGCTGCTGGCCCGGTTCATAAGCTCATTTTTGTGTGCTATTTTTACTACGTTGCATTTTTCTCATCCGCTGACCTTTACAGATAAAGCTAGCTATGGAGTGATCTTTTCTTCCCGCTTGGCCAGAAGCATCAGTATTTTAAAAGGCTTGCTAGATGCCCAGTTCATTTAGGATGAAAACAGCCTCCTGGACCAGTTTGCAAAAGTACAAATACAGTGGTACCTCAGATTACATACGCTTCATGTTACATACGCTTCAGGTTACAGACCCTGCTAACCCAGAAATAGTACCTCGGGTTAAGAACTTTGCTTCAGGATGAGAACAGAAACCGTGCTCTGGCGGCGTGGCAGCAGCAGGAGGCCCCATTAGCGAAAGTGGTACCTCAGGCTAAGAACAGTTTCAGGTTAAGTACGGACCTCCGGAACAAATTAAGTACTTAACTCGAGGTACCACTGTACATATATATATAAATACACACACACACACACACACACACACACACACACACGAATGAATGAAACTCCCCATCTCCAAAAAAAAGGGGGGGGGAGCTTGAGATGTTTTCTAACTGTGAGTGGGTGGAAACAGAGAGATTGGAATCCTGGGCAGCTGCGCTCCGCACTGGTTCCCGGGAAAAACTTGGCTGCAAATGAGCCATTTGTCCATGCAGCCTTTAAATCTGAAAAGGGAATGTTGGACTGCGACATTTAATCGATTAATCGATCAGATTAATCAGTGAAAGGTGTTTGATAAGATTAAAAGTTGCAGCTTCATTAATGAAGCACCCGGCGATGATGATTGCCACTTACCGTATTTTTCGCTCTATAAGACTCACTTTTCCCCTCCTAAAAAGTAAGGGGAAATGTGTGTGCGTCTTATGGAGCGAATGCAGGCTGCGCAGCTATCCCAGAAGCCAGAACAGCAAGAGGGATTGCTGCTTTCGCTGCGCAGCGATCCCTCTTGCGGTTCTGGCTTCTGAGATTCAGAATATTTTTTTTTCTTGTTTTCCTCCTCCAAAAACTAGGTGCGTCTTGTGGTCTGGTGTGTCTTATAGAGCGAAAAATACGGCAATTATTTAATTATTCATTTGAATTATTTCTACAGAAACTGGGAGTAGCAGGGACCACCTTAGATTAGGTACATCCTCCCCTTAGCTGCTTCTACTGCCTCCTGTGACAAGTGATGGGGAAAGCATAAACTCTTGATAAAAGCCGCATGGTTTTATTTGCAGACAATTTTTTTTTTGCAGATTGCAATGATAAATGAATTGATTAAGTCGTCTAAAACTCACATGGTGATTAAACCAATTTTGCTTTTATTGGGTGACAACCTAAAAACAACAATGATAATTTCATCCTCCTTTGAAAATATAAAGTTCAATTCAAGAGTACAATTTTTGCAGTGATAAATATTTCAATCCCCTTGTCACAAGAGGCAGTGATTTAAGCGGAGGCTCGCGCCCTCTCTGTCTTTTGCCTGGCAATCCTCTGGAGGATCAAAGGAAACAAGCGTGATCCCACTTGCCTTGATACATTTTTAATACTCTGAGGCAACAGAGGAAAAATAACAAGCTCCCCTTGTGCACATTTTTCTTTTACCAAAAGGACTTCAATACGAGTGGGGTCCCACAAATGTTTGCAGAAACATTTGCTCTCAGTTCAGACCTTCTTGCCATTTTCTTGTCCCTTCGTAACAACCTCACATTGCCCCTTCTGTCTTTAGCTCCTATGTGCTGGTGCCTTTTTTTTGAGCAGTTAGAATAGACTTATTCTGTGACCTCACAGCAGCTCAGCCAATGGCTAAGAATGGCTTGCAGGTAACTGCCAAATTGTGTTTAATCCCTCAGGTCTTATTGCTGGTATTTGTTCCTGACAGGGTTTGGTTTTTTTAAAAGGGGTCTTGTAGAACTACTATTTCCCAGCAAAACTTCACATTCTTCTTTTAATATATATATATATATATATATCATTTTATTAGCATTCCTTCAACAAAGGGCCCTCAGCCCAAAATGCCAAGCAGGGACTAAGGATGAATGAAAAGTATAAATGTGGTCATGGAAAGTCTTCTCCACCGTGGGTTCTTCTTCCTTTCCTTGGAAAGGGTGAGGCAGTGGGATGTAATATTTGCACACATTTTCTCTCTACCTTAGCTTCTTTCCCCATTGGAACAAGTGAGGAAAGCTCTTGCAGTGGATTCAGAGACAGTGATTGGCTGACATGAGTCCCCAAACTCGTGGCTGCCCACTGCTGAGTTTCACCCTCTTTGCTACTTCTGTCTGGCCATGCTATTTAGAGAAGAAGCTCATCGCAGTTGCCTAGCAAGACCCAGAAGTGCTCCCTCAACAGAACTCGGAGGGGAAGGAACTGAGGCACAAAACCAGCAGAGCAAGCCAGACTTGGACCCTGTTCCAGAGAGTCCATTCATTTGGTTCTGCTAATCTGTGATTTACACCTGCATCCAACCCAAGTTCTACTCCTGTGAAAGGAGTAGATCTGAGTTAGTCACGTCCATTAATGTAAGCGGATCTGTTTTGAATAGAAATAGCATTGGGTTTTAGCCAATGCTAGCCCTACTCAGAGTTGACCCATTGATGTTACTTGACGTGGCTCACGTAGGAAGCTAAATAGCTTAGTCGGTAGAGCATAAGGATCTTAATCTCAGGGCTGTGGGTTCAAGCCCCACATTGGGCAAAAAAGATTCCTGCATTTCAGGGGGTTGAACTAGATGACTCTGTAGTTATATTATTCTAACAGGTCTTCTTCTCTGAGTAGAATTTAGTTGCATGCAGCCCATAGTGTGCCACCAAACTTTGACCAAAAACAGCATAGTCCGTTCTGGAGAACAGAGTTGATCCCAAGATGCGAGTGAGAATGTATTGCAGGGCGTTGAACTGGATGAGACGTTGGGTTCCTTCTATGATTCTATGAATGGTTTTCTTAACCAGACATGTCTGCTTAAATGAACAGGCTGTGTTCAGTGTTGCAACTCTGCCAGTTCCAGGAACTTCTGTGCACATAACAAAACTTCCTCTCCCTTTGTGCCCTCAAAAACAGCTTTGGAGGATTGGGGGACCCTCCGAAGCATTTTCAGGGGCCCACAGGGAGACGAGGAAATGAAATTCTTGTTGCGCAGAGGAACCCTGCTGGTGTGACATTGGATACAACCCTATGATTGCTCAAACATCACCGTCTTGTTTTGCTGTGAACAGAGGAAGAGATTGCTCAGTGGCAGCCAGAGGAGGCAAAGTTTGGAAAGATTCACTTCAGACGATCTTTCTTGTCTTCTGAGGGAAGAACAGGCATCCATTCATTTTCTTTCAAAACAATTAAATACCCTCTTTGAGAGGAAAAAAACTCCAAGGATGGCTTACTTTTGCCGGAAGGTGGCGCTAGAAATCGGTAGCCACCTTCCAATTTGCTTTGCTAAACTTTAGGGTTGAAGCCCAAAGTCAAGAAGAGTTGAGTGCCTTGGGACTAAAAACAAACAAACAAATAGAAAACATTGCCCAACAATATGGCTTGGGCCTACTTCCAGCAGCAGCAGATTATACTGTTAATAGCATTTAATAATCATAGTAATTAATAATAGCAAGCAAAAACAAGAGTGATATGGGATATCAGTAATGGGGCAGGGGTTTTGGTTGTGTCAAGTTCTAAGCAAATGTAGAGAGAAGAGTTGGCCGAACTTCAACGAAGGGGCAGCTCGTAACATGGTTTTCTTCCAGAGATGGTTCTTGACTTACATAGATGGGCAACCAACAGCTCTGTCCATGACTGACTGTGCTGGGATTGAGCTTCAGAATCTATTTACAACTTTCATCCTGATTCTTTCCAAAAGATATTTTTATGTACAGGGTGCTTCCACTCAGAAATGGCACCCACTCCTCCCTTTAAACTGCTAAGCACAGGAAAAAGACTTGACCTCAGGGGACCCTAGTTCTTCATTTGTTCTGTGCTATCTGCAATGATCCTGGTTACGCTTGTTCCAGAACGTAGCTGCTCCAGCATCAGTATTTGGCTGGGCTTACCGCCTCCCAGGACAGAGGTCTATTAAGAGGTCTACAGAGAAGGAGAGCCGACATCTTTGTTCTTGTTCTGTTTTCTTCGTGGGACCCATTGGTTTGAAAGTGGCAAGTGTTGATTCCGAGTCCTCCTTGGAGTTCCTGTCCAGAACACTGCTTCTAGGGAAGAAGGCAACCACCACCCCAGTGACTCAGCCCAGTTGGGGGTCTCCCTTGCTTCTGCCTGTTATGGGACAACTATGGAGACCATGCTAGCCCATCTCACTCTGGGGCCTACAAAACTCGTGGGGCTTTATGGAGATCACAGCAAGAATGGAATGGGAATTAGTGTGGCGTTTGGTGCCAATGAAGAGAGGGAGATTTCCTCCCTCAAATGCCACCTTCAGAGGAGAAGTTTTCCTAAGGGTTAAATGCCCTCTGCCAGCTGCAATCCCAGTAATTAACACCAACACCCCCAACTGATGCTATTTGCATTCTTCAAAACCTGCAGTTAGATGCATTTGATGTCGCATCTAGTTTGACCCTTTGTGTCTTGCAGAAAGTGCTTAGAACTTGACATAGCCAAACTCTTACTTGGGAAATATTTTTAATGGGGAGTAAGAGGGGCTTTTTTTAGCCCTGTCTGAAAAGCAACCATTCTTTGGGGGGGGGAGCAAGAGCTTCCAATCCAAGTGCTTAAAAGCCTATGCGAAAGTATTAATATATATACATACATACGTACATATATATATTACATTATTTGCCTAATGAATAATAAGCACAGTTTTAAAAAAAATGGTGAAGCAAAGCACCAAACCCTCATTGGTTGTTTTTTTTATAAAAAAAATTATTATTATTATTTGGAGTGAATGGGTGAGGGACGGCGACTT